GGGGGGGGGGGGGGGGGGGGGGGGGGGGGGGGGGGGGGGGGGGGGGGGGGGGGGGGTTCACTGACTAGCATCGACCGCGCTTACCGGCTGCCCAACACAACTCCGTCAGAAGAAAAAACAAAAAAAATGGCAGAGGCGCAAAAAAATCCTAGCATATGGGAGTACTCCACCAAGAACAAGTGTCGGATGGCCACTTGCCACTGGGCGTCATCGTCCCGCACGACAAACATCAAGCCCTGCACCGCCTCCACACCTGTCACCGCCTCCAGACCGAGCGCCAGCGGCTACCGCCGCCGCCGAAGCTCCTCCCTGTCTCCCCCGAAACCCAACACCGCCTCCGCCTCCGCCTCCCCCGCCGCCGCCGGCCGGCCAGGGCGAAGCAGAGGGAGACCTGAACGCGTCCATCACCAGGTCCGGGTTTCTAGGAGACTCCGCAGGCGTTGTGCAGGCGGAGGGGGGCAACACCGGGGGCGGCAGGAGCTCCTCCTTCTTGAGCTGAAGGGACACCAGCGTTCGCCCTAAGGCTGTCGGTGTCGACTCGGGGGGCGGTGGGGCCATCGTCGTCGTCGACGACGACGACCGTGCCGTAGTTGTTTCGTCGTCATCGCCGCCGGTCTTGCCGCCGCTCCGTGTATCGCCACCGCCGTCCGCGGGCATTACCGCCGCCGATGTTTGCGTAGCGCACGCGTCGGCTACGTCGCCGCCATCCTCGCTGTCGCCGCTGCGACTCGCGGTCTTCCCGCTTGAAGCCGCGGCGGCGGCGGCGGAGGCGATTGAGCTCCCGGCTTCTCGCCGCAGCACTTCCGCTCCCCTCCCCGCGGTCCCGACTCCGTTGGCTGCCGCCGACGGTGGTTGCTGCTTCACGTTGAAGCCGTTGCAATCCCCTCCTCCGTTCACTGCTGCAGCAGAGGGCGTGGAGGGCCCTCCCCCTCCCTCCGGCCCCGCATCCGCCGCCGTCCCTGCGGTAGGGTTTCCAGTGGAAACCGGAGGAGGAATGCACGACGTTCCGACAACCGCTGCCATCGCCGTCACCGTGGGGTACCGAGTGTCCCAGCCCAGCTTCACCTCCGACAGCGGTGGCGCGGCGAGGAGGAGGAGCCGCTGGTAGCAGCAGTGCCAGGGATGCTTGTTGGTGGGGCGGTTGGCCGGGCGGGGGACCGCGCGGCCTCTATTGCTGCTGCTGCTGCTGCCGCCGCTTGGTTGCGCCCCAGCTTTTGTCGGGGACGTGCACTGGGCCACCACCGATTGCTGGTGCGGGGGGACACTGCTGATGCTGTCAGCGGGTGGGCAGAATTGTGCGCTGCTGCTATCAGACGTGGGGGGCTTAGGAACAGACAGCAGTAGCAGCGCGTGGGCAAGGGAAATCGCAGGAAAGATCGAGAGCCGACCTGTCAGTGCTACTTTTGCTGTTACGTTTGTTGTTTCTTATAAAAAGGAAACAACTAGTCGAAGTTCCGTATCTCCATCTGTTGAGGAACGAGCCCAGGCAAATTTGCAAATGGAGCTGTGGTGTGTGTTGATATGACCTACCTACCTGTGCTTGTTTCAAAAAAATAAGCAATGGATTCATTCATTGTGTCGAAAACCTCCCTTGTTTCGATCTCCGAGAAACATGTGCATACGGCAATGATAAGTCTTAGATTGTTTCGTGCTGTGCATACCGGTAAGGGTCTGAGTCTGAGCGGCGGGCTTTCCCACAGATTCTCTGTATTCAATACTTCGAAGTTTATACAAGAGGAAGGAAATGGCAACTAAATCGTAGCTTCCGAGCTAGCGTTCCATGACCAATCTCCAGTCTGGGTTGGTTCTCTCATAATGTGACAGCATTCTTTGTTTGCATTTATGTTGTTTAACAGTGACAGCAGCTGCCTTGCCAACAATCCGGCTGGGTATTGCGTCATCCCTCTTGTTTTGCGTGAAGCAGCGTTGCTCGCAGCGTCCCATGCCCGCTTACGATGCCACTACATATCTCACCCTCAAACTTGCAAGAGAAAAACTTGGATTCGGTCATGGCCAAAAGCAATATCCATGTTTTGTTGATGATGTGGCCTGCGTACAACACTGGACCCAAAATCCTCAAATGAATGCGTCGGAGGTCCACCCACCCGTTATGTACTGCCATTAGAACTAGAAGGACTCCATGTCCAGCTGTGGCAGTGACACGTTCGAATGCATGATACTGCCGCAGCCCCTCCCCTTAATATCCTTCTTTCAAGAGTGGTGACTTCTTGCCACCGACCGCAGGAAGTGCTTTCTTTGTTTCTTCGATCTCAAAAGACCATCCATCACATACACTCTGTACGCAAGTAGACCTTGAGCGCAAACAAGTGTCAATAGCTGGTTACGAAAGATGCTGCAAGGTCTCTTGCGGTCGTTGTCCTGTGGCCACGTAACGTGTCCGAGACAGGTGGGCCTAGTACAGCCAGTACGGACCAGAAACCGGAACGGTTTTATTGTCGCAACGAGAGCAGCAATCACAACGAACGATGTGACAAGGCAACGCCGTGAGTGCGATGGCTTGAGATACCACACCTCCCTCCTTCGGCTGATTTTATAGAGCTACAGCAGTACTCTTGCAGCAGCACAAGGAACAGCAGAAGCAACGGCGCCGAAAATGTCGACGTGGGAACCAGGCATCATCATCGGCTTTCCGAAAACGCATCCACCATCCTCGTGGAGTGGTAGTCGAGCATAACGGGGTACGGTATTTTGCGTAACGGTACGCTGCTGCTGTGCACGAGTGTGGAATGCGAGATCCGGCGAGATCGAGATCGAGATCGGAACGGTTACACCAGCACGGCAAGAGCGAATGCATGGTCTTGTGGAGGGAACTGCTGTGAAGAGCTAGTGTATGCTCACAGGAAACCCATCAAGACGAGAGAAACAAGGAGAGGGGGCGTCCATACCTGTTGCGTGGGCGGCGCGAGGCGGGGGGGGGGGG